GAATCAGCTGGAAGGATGGAGACCTCCACTCGCAGCCTTTTTTTACAGAATCTTAAGATTTTTTTCAATTGTGAGCTACTGACTACCCCATCCTTCCTTCCCTTTGTTCCTCCGCCCTCCAATTTTTGCCCCTAGATGCAACAACAAGCTATAAATATGTTTGAGCAGAACCAAGGAGCGCTACCTTTTACTCCACCAGGAAGCTCTTTAATTTTATTTGTTACCGTAAAAAAGAGATGGAATTATATTGAATCGGAACCTTACCATAAATTCAATCCCATCATTGGGATCGGAACGAACTTCAACCTTCGAAGAGTCCAGCATCGAACCGGCTTCAACGGTAACATTCACTCGTTGCACAACTCCCGCCAAGAGATCTTAAACAAGGTTTTTTTTCAAAGAATAAAATGTATGTAAGTATCTTTATAGACAATTATTTAGCGAGAACGAAAGAAAAGTGAAATTTTATGCTCCTTGGTCGATAAAGAATAAGGATGAAGGATAAAGTTCCGGGGCGTTGACCAAACCCGTCTGAGTTATGCGCCCACGCATTCAACTTCCACTCAGAATCGTAGTGGCGTATTGAATGCGTATATGGCCGATACAATTATTTGCAGTGGCCAGCAGATGTACAAGTCAGTGCTTTAATCATCCTTGGTCGATGCGTCAGCAAATGGGATGAGAGCATGTAAGGGATCCATGGAAAGGATGGTAATTAAGTAAGGAATTCGACTTGTGAGAATAAATGTGGAACTGATTACTAGGGCTTATAATGGGTTTCATAATCTACGTGGTAATTAAGATTGTTTTCAGCACCAACAGAGCAAATTGAGATTCAAAAATACCCAGCACTGCCGGACTAAAACACCCTGTGCAAAATGGTGGGACCACTGAGCTTCCGGGAAATTATTGTTGAAAACGAGAAGCCGAACAATCTTCATCCAGGCCTACAAAAGATCTACAAAAGACCTACAAAGGCCTACTAAGGTGCCGTTAACTACAATGTTCCGTGGTCTTGATCTTGTTATGGAGAACAGTACAGAAACCATAGGTAAGAAATGGCCTGCAACGGCGAAAAGTTTTCTACGTTTCGAAAACGAAGAATTCGATATTAGTCCCAAGAGCGCGTGCATTGTATTCAGATGACTCAAAAGCATAATAAAGGATAGATATAAAAACGGTATATTACCTACAAAGACGATGTTTTGTGCAGGGTAGTAAAGCCTAAGGATATCAAACAGGAAGGTCAGCAGTATGGACAAATCACAAACCAGAAGGGAAACCATGAGCTACAGGCTATCTGGTCATTACATAAGCAAGAATTAATAGAAACCCACGATTCAAGAAGCTAATCAAATGCACAGAAACCGAAACCGCTGGACAGCCAGCTCTTTGCCTTCTCATTATTCAAGCGATAAAAACATCCTGTGGCAACGAAGCTCAGCATAGGGAAAGAGTGATGGAGCTGACAACTATTGGGTATAATACCATGCAATGAGCTCAGTTGTGACGAGCAAAAATATTCTTCCTTCTCATCACTCAGAAAGCTTGATCTGTACCAAAATCAGTATTTTGCTAAGAAAGTTCGGATCCCTTCTTCCGAACTTTCTTAGCAATATACTGGCTAAGAAAGCCACTATCATAAGAACTGGCTATCAGGTAAGGAAAACGAAGAAACCCAAACTCAAGGAGGCTGGAGTAATGAAGAAATGATATGATGATGGAAATGGCTGGTAAAAAAAGCACGGAAGAAAAAAGAACAAAGAATAAACATTTGATGTCCTCAAATTCCGCTCACCTCTGCTCTGGTCAATCCACAACTTATTCGGAGTGCTTTGCACGAAAATAGTGACCATCCTCTTAGTCTTCACATCGTCAATACTTATCGATATCATATCATCAAATAACGTTGCCTGAACGCTATCCAATATGAAGCAACCCCGAGACTGCACCAGGCCTGATACTATCTGAAATCACAACTTATCAGGAAAGTTATAAATAGGGAATGAAATCATTTACTATTTCATTGCTTCCAGGGTCTAGATCTTGACTGGAGCAGGTGAGCAGAAGTTCTTCGCCTGATCGTTGCGAGGCCACCGGTGATTTTGAGCGAGAAAGGGATTTCCTACGGTGTTTTGATTTACTCAGTGTTATCACACGCGCAACTTGTTCTCGCTCCTGAATAGAAAACATGGATACGGTGTTTAGGAATGGACTATCAACTACCAATGAATACAATACTCACACTGAAGTGCACATCGTACACATTCCCTTTTCGCCTCGACAGAACATGCTCATCGACTTCTCGAAGTTTTAAGCGTAGGCAGAAATTTGGAATTGAAATTGGAAACTTTGAAATAACTTCAAAATCAATCGATACACGACCATTGGGCACTTGTACGATCGGTGTGAAACCTCTGACTGTGACACGAAACAGATCCTTCGGGATTCCTGGCGGTTCAGCAAGGCTGAAATTACGTTCGTGACATTCTGACCTAGAACGTCACCGGGAAAAAGGTCTCGAAAAATTGGGATAGCTACGAAGGAAAGGAAAATAGACAACCTAAACTTCAGAACTGGGAAAATCTAGGGGAGAGAAAAGAAGAAATTTAAAAAAAGTATCGGGAAACTAAAAAGGAAACGAAAAAGAAACATTAGTCAAAGAGTCGACTTCCGTTAGTCACAGGCTCATGAGAAATACTCTCAAAAAAAATTCTAAAATAAAGAACCTTAATTTCTTGGCCCTGTCTCCGCTAGAAAGTTGTTCGATAAACTCTTCGGCAAATTTCTTCCGTTCATCTTCATCAGAGTCATGCAGTGCTACATATAATCGATATGACAGTGACCTGGAAGAACTACCGTACAACATTTAGGACTGCACAGATGTCCAACTGAGCCCAAATTTTGCGTACAATTACTACCGTTCAAAGTCAATGTCGTCCTTTAGATGTGGCACAATTCGTTTCATCACATCAACAACTGGCTGAGATTTCGCACCACTTTCCAGCAAAGAAGATACAAATCGTAGCTCCAATGGCAGTGCTCCAGCGTCTCGATCATTCCTTCTGAAGCTCAAAGTACATTGAAAAAATCNGGGGGGGGGGGGGGGGGGGGCAGGAGAGGGAGTTTATCGTTACATCGTTCTTGTTTCCCGCATGCGCAAGCGCGTCCCAAAACAGGACCAATAATGTCAAGAAGCCCTGTTTACTTATTACTTCCCTAATGCACGATTACTATCAACCGACGCACACATTGATTTAATGAGTAACCGTTACGGTAAGTTCCCCATAACACTTCGTTTTTTTTCCGTACCGTCCTACAGGAGAAAATAAATCGTTCCTGGGGATAGNGGGGCAGGAGAGGGAGTTTATCGTTACATCGTTCTTGTTTCCCGCATGCGCAAGCGCGTCCCAAAACAGGACCAATAATGTCAAGAAGCCCTGTTTACTTATTACTTCCCTAATGCACGATTACTATCAACCGACGCACACATTGATTTAATGAGTAACCGTTACGGTAAGTTCCCCATCCTTAATTAACCTCTGAATGTAGTCTAACACTTCGTTTTTTTTTCCGTACCGTCCTACAGGAGAAAATAAATCGTTCCTGGGGATAGTTCCCTATGCTTATATCTCAGTGCATACACCTACCAAACCAAGTCGGCCATTGATTATTTGAGAGGGATATCCTGTGCTGTTTCGCCTAAGCTTATCTCTAACACCAGCTAATCAACTTCACAGTATCTCACTACCTAAGAAGATTTCGCCAGGATTTAGTCATCTTCTGGAGTATGCAGTGGCTTCGTCAATTCCCTCAGGAAACCTTTAATCTGGGCTTATCTGGGTCAAATATTCGAGCCCTAGTTAGCCTAAAATAATAGATGTGGGCACCAACCCATTCCAAAGAAGAAAACTAACCAGGCTGGACAAAAAAATAGCATGAACAGATAAACAAAAAAACCAAAGATTTCAGATGAGCCGCCACCCTCGCGGACTCCAACTGAATTTACGGACTACTATCTCATAATAAGGGAAAAAGTTCGAAATCTTCCTCAACCAAACGACGAACCTCATCCACTCAGCCATCTTCCAACCGATGTATGCAGCCTGTCTAGTTCGCCCGCACTGCATTAGGGTAGCCGAAGCTAATTCGTGTGCCTTGAAAAACTGTGAAGCGAAATTGTTGGGTGACTGAAGAACTTCTCGAAGATACTCTCCACTTCCACTTGAATCATCAGAGGCAGAAAGCCATTCACAAAGCGATGACCGTGTTTCTGATGGACCACTTTCCGGCAATTCTGCCAAATCCAACATCTAAACAACGGAAAGTCAACACGTCGATCACTATTTAACATAAAGATGCAATCAAAAAAAATTATGAAATGAAAACGAGCCCTCACAGAGGACTACCTCTTCACTGAAATATTAGGTTGATGCATAATTATTGCGGATTTTTTGCGGCTTTTTTTCTCTCGATAGAATTTGAATATTGAGTTCGGGTTTTTTCTAGAAATGATCTACTCGATTTTCTCTACAAGAATATACTCAAAAAACCATCCGCATAATCGCGAGATTAGGCTTAACTACTTCGAGAAAGATTGGAAGGTGTCGCAGTCATCCCGCGATCTCAGTAACTTTTCGGCGATCGAACAATCGGCTAGAACCAACCAAGAAATGGGATCTGCCCTTAAATCTGCCACATTCACCAGGAGAAACTTTTATGGATTATCTCCTCAACCGTTCATCGAAAGAATGGCTAGAGAATAGAAGTTACTTCGATTTTGATGACTTGATGGCCGATGTCAAGGCGTGGATCGCCCGTAAGGAACA